TACCCTCCCCCTGCGTGTTCATGCCCTATCTTGCTTCTCTTCAAAAACTGCTAGGATGTCTCCAAAAAATTTAGCAAAAAATTTAAAGAACCTGTTCGATGTTAAAAATTGTGTGTTGGAGATGTCAACTTAGAGGATTAGCCACTGGATATACAGATCATTAGTTCACAGTCCACAGGGCCTATAGAAGTCTTGAGATATTACTGCAATATAAATGTTTGTATAACTTTATCTGTGTAAATATTCATTTTTACAAGTATGACTTTTGTAATGTGTATAAACATATCTTTAATAGGTGGAGGAGACTGCAAGAGAAAGGGAAGAAAGGCTTAAAGTGTGGGGATCATTTTTAGAGGATCCTGATGCAAAGGAGCAGCAAACTACATCTGATTCAGATTCTGCAACAAGTAGCGTTAAACTGCCTGAAGGCAGACAGCCTTCAAAAGTTAATGACACATCTAAGGAGGATGTAAATGATGAAGCCCATAAGAGGGAGAATAATGGTGAGGGCATTAATGAAGACGGTGCTCCATCTACAGACAGCAGCCTTGCAGGCAGTGATGTTGAAGCAGATACATAACATCTTTAATGCTTTGTGAAAGCATGGTTTTTAGGGTGATGTTTGAGTTTATCCCTTTCTTCAGGGTGACTGCAGACAATATTCATATGAATATATGCATATTAGAATGTCATCAACTGTGTGCTTTAAAGTTTTCATTAATAGCAGTATTTAATGAGGTTCTAAAAGTTTGTATTAATTGGCTGTTCAGGTAAAGTAACTCAAGTTGCCAAGAATGCAGTAAAACTCATCAGGCTTCTTTTGTTCTAACTATGCTTGTCAGTGTTTCACTATGTAAGTGTGAAATATCTTCCAACCCTTATGTTTATGTAACTATATGTAACTTAAGTAATGCAAAGCTATTACAAGATTGGTGGATTTTACTGTTAATTTTCCTGTACCACTTGGAACTCAGTATCCTTAAAAATTATTCTTGTCCTGAGTACTTGGCTCGTTTTATGGAACAGATGCTGTGATATGTATAAAGTGTTGCTATGCATTAAGTAGCAAATGTTAAGAGTAGTACCAAGTGGCAAACTTTAAGGAAGTGGAAAACAAATAACATTGCCATAGCCAGCATAAGGCAAACTGGGTGAAGACAGATTATTAAATCACAGCATTCAGTAAATTATTTTTTTCTTCCCCTGTTTAGATCTTCTGTTGATGCTTAGATCTTCTGTTGAGGCTGGAATTATGTCAAGGAGACTAGAAATGCATGAGCACACACATTCTAGGCCATAATTAGATAAGACTGACCTTAAACTCTCATGGTCTGTATGCAGTAGGTATGCAAAATAGGCTTTTGACTGATGTGTTGGCTTTGTTTAGTTTTTGCTTTAATATTAGAGTAAAAGTTTTTGTTTAACTTGTTAGAATGATGAATGTGAGTTCTTGTCAACATTTTAGTTTAGCCCTACGTGCTCTTCAAAGTGGGGAGGATCTCACATATTTCATAAAATTTAAAGGCTTTTGGCAACTTGAACTACATTTGTTGTGCAAAAGTTAGAATACGTGAAAATATGCTTTCAAATAATACTCTTTTGTATGAAAAAAGCCAATGCTAGCCCTCTTAGAAGTATTTCCAAAAGCAGGGATTTAGGAGACATTCTAGCTTTAGATATCTTAATAAGTGGCAGGCTTTCAAAAATAACTTAGGGGGAGATGTTCTGGGCATAGTCATTCTTAATTTAGAATCCCATTATTTTGATTCCTAAGTATAGAAGAATATGGGTTTAGTCACTAAACAATTAAAATATGGTGCTAAATTCATAGCACACTGTTCATACGGATGGTTACTAGTGCACATTTGTAAGGAGGATTTTATGAACTTTTTAATTCATATCAGATTGCAAGAAACCATAGATGCTAATTCTTATATTTCCATCCTGAAGTATTCAGAATACTCTGAAAATTGGTATTTTCAAACTTTGTGGTCTGACATTACCATCTATATTTTTTCCAGAAGCCTATATGGTACTCATAAGTTTGTTTGGGTTTTTTTGTTTTGTTTTGTTTTTTTTAATATGTAATCAATATGCATGGGTGGCTATGCCAACCAGAGCATCTAAGTTAACACTTGCCACTGTGGTTATAACCGATATCTTTTTGTGACAAAATACCTGGTCTTACAACAGAGATGATATTTGGATTCTGGGTTTAAAAGTCTGGGGGCTCGTTATAAGCTGGCATAACAAATTTCCAGTTTTGAGTTGCATTACAAAGAAGAGCTGTAACTCTTGCCAGCTAAGATAATTTTCTCATCTTCACAAGTTTTTGAATTGTACACTTCAGCGAAACAGGTGTTTGAACAATTCAGGGAATCTGAAATACTGCCTGGTTTGTAGCTACACGTAGTGGCATATTCAGATTACATCTCTGGGTTGTGTTTGTTCTGCTTAGTTATTTTTATTGGTAATAAGCACCACAAACCTTTGAGGGCTGGAAGATTTTGCATATGAAGAGTGTAATTTAGTGTGGTGGGTATTGCTTTCAGTGCTCCTCTTTTTTTTTTTTTTTCTTCCAGCTTCTAGACTCCAGGCTTTAGATCTGTTAGACTATTGTGTTTTGTTAGCTTTTATTTTTTGAGAGCCTAGTCATATAACACTCTACACAGTTAAATCACCTGTTTTACTGTGGAATTGCAACTGATATAGGGAAACTATTGACAAATGTATAAATATTGTACAGTTCTATGAAGCCTTATCATGGTATCAAACATAAAAATTAAGGTTAGTGTTAGTGTTTGAAAAAAAGACTTTGAAAAATAAAGAATCATTATATGTGCAGTAACCTTCCTCTCTCCAATTGATGTACAAATTTGATTGGCTTGCTTCAAAAGTCAAACATGATGTTAGTCTTTTCACCTTTTCCTCTAGACTTCATGCTGAAGCAGAGCACCGACAAAGACTGAGACCAAATGCTTTCCTGGCTTTCCTATTAACTAGGATTCTTACAAAAATAAAAGCTGTTTTTCCATGAAAATATGTTGTTCTGAAGTGCGGCATTACACTCAAACTGGTATTTTCCTTTTGTCTACCTCTGTTATTCCCCAGTAAAATGTAAAAATATATTTTTATAAACTATTCATTGAGTTATTGAGGCATTTAATAGTCTATGGAGAGGTTAATGCAGCTGTGACTTTCTTTTCAGCAGATTTTAATTGAGACCGAATTCTTTTGATGTTTTCCTTTTTTAAATGATGCAAATTTTTATAAATTAATCTGAACATAAATTAAATTTTTTCATGAAAGTTAAAATTCCTATTTTGAAGTATGATTATGAAAATCTTATAGTATAGAGCAGTAATGGTTTAATACCAAATTTTAATAAACCTGAAGCTGAACAAGCTGAGTTGCTTTTTAAACTTACATTTTTTTCTGACTGAGCATCATCATAAATAAATTGGTAAGAAGTTAAAACCCCAATGCAATTTTCACTATATTTGTTCTTTTAATTAAAAGTGCTTTTTCTTAGGTTCCATTCCAGTGTTCCAGTATACTGCATGTTCCTTCATCCCTAGGCTTTTGGTGAGAGGTTCATTTTAAGAAAAGCAGTCTCCTTCCCTCTGTATGTTATGAAAACAATAACTGGCAGCAGGTTGAAACACTTTGTGGATAATCATTGTTGCTCAGTTTTGAACTAGAGAAATATCTGTTTCTATTAATTCGCTCGGTGTGACAAAATGGATGTGAAAACTCTTAAATATAACAGCAGGGAAACAGTATTAACTAATTGGTACTTCAGCATAATTCGGCATAGATAATCACTTTCTTAACCACGCAATACAAAATCAGTTGCTTAGCTTCAAGATATGTTGGTAGTTTGCTTTACAATCAAATGCTATTTAGTGGTTTGCTGGCAAGGTAATTGTACAGGGTTAGAAGTATTCATCAGAGATTACATGGTTTGAGGAGCATGGCCAAGGTAGACATCTGGAAACAAAAAGCCCCAAAAGAAAAGGCACGTAAGTTGTAGCAGGTTCTCGAATGTTCATATACAGCTGTAAAGAGAGAATTAGTTTCATTTTGCATCAAAATGTTTATCTGTTTCTCCTGCTGACTTTTTTTAATTACTTTTTTTAATTGAATTTCAGTCGCTCGTACAACTTACATTTTGTATAAGGATTGCAATTCACTTAAAATCATTAGTATGTTAAATGCAGTGCATTTTAGCTAAAACATGTCCTAGACATTATTCAGTTAGGGTTAATCTATTTACAGTTACAAATACTTAGCTTAATTCACTTAAGAAAACTTAAAGGTATTGGATGCTTCATAGAAACCCAAACTTGCCTTTAGATTTTCCAGTGAAATCGGTATCCATACCCTGACTTCTTGAACTGATAACCTAATCAAATTCTTAAAAAACCCAAAACAAACCATACCTCTAGACTTTAATTGGATTTTAAATTCTTATTTTTATTTCTGAATTTGAGGAAACATACTGCAGTATGATAAATGAATTATGTAAGTTGTGTACTTGTGTTGATTTGACTTGTGTGTATTTTAGTGCTCATTATACAAGGCTTGAAGTCTTACTGTCAGAATACTCTGAAAGTTCTGTAAAATGTTTATAGAATTATGAAATCTTTTGCAGCAAATTGTTTTTTGCTCATTCTGTAATATGAAAGTATATTGTTAGATTAAACTTTTCAGTAAGTTGACTCGGAATTTTTCTGACAGGTTATTTTCTTTCGATAAGTTAAATTGATTGTTTTCATCTATCCTTTAGAAAACCCAACATTTAAAAAAAAAAACCAAACATTTGAATAATATCTAGACCTGTGACAGCATCTGAGAATCCCTTGGTTTGTCTTCAATTTTGTTTCTTAAAGGGGTTGTGTTTTATACTACCTTTTTAATAAACAAACTCGTGAACAAAACAAGTCTTTTCTGATTAGTGTCAAGATAATGCATTTGTCTTACTTTTTTCCTCAGTAAAAGATACTGTAGCATTTGGTGCCCAGTGACTTATAAAGCCTATGTGTTAACATGCCAGCGTTTTCCAACTGGAGTCCAGTAGTCATGTTGCTAGAACTGTAAGTGTTTGCAGTGGGATAGTGGGATGTGGTGTTTGTTCCCTCTTTGTGGGTTTTGTCTCAGACTTCATTCTGGCTGCTTCTGTTAGTGGACCCTGTATGAAGATAAAAGGAGCTGGAGGAATGACTGCAGACACCATAGTTGTAATTGGGGGGGGGGGGGCTGTTGTTTGTTAAGGACAAGCAGAATTGCAATTTTTATTCTCAGAAATTAAGTTTTTTTGTGTGGGTTTTTTGTTTTTTTTTTTTTTTTTAAAGCTTAACATTTTGAATGCTTAAAAAGCGCTGGAAATCAGTTGTTTCAATTCATAAACTGCAAAGGAATAGGGATGATAATCCCATTTTTACCCAGTAGTTCTTTGGGGTGTTCACGTAGGAGCTTTAAACTGGTGCCATCTAACAACCTTACGAGTCCTTTAACTGCCAACCTAAGAGGAAATTCTTGAATGAGGTCTTGAAAAGATTTAGCAGATTAAGTCGCTGCTATATGAAAGAGTTTAGAAAAGGGGGTAGAAGAACAAATGATTGAGATGTTGGCACTTGCCCTGCTGATAAACTGGAATCCAGTCTGTCTCACAATGAAAATGTGTTTATGCAAAGAGTGTGTCAATAAAAGACTAAGCACCATCCTGGGAAATCTTACAGCCTGGTAGTTAAGTTGTTCTGGGAGATGGCAGAGGGCGGATTCATACGTATTTAGGCAGAGAGAATTGGACTGTGCTCTCCTACTTTCTGGGTGTGTGAACAAACTCTTAAGCTACTGCATAAAAGACTTCATGTCACCAGTTTGGTGACTCTAGTTGCCCAGTGTATTATTCCAGCAGTGACTGGTGAATTTGACCCTGATTCAGCATTTCTGGAATGGCTGCAATTTGGTAATTTTGGTAAATTTACTAAAAAAAAAAACAAACCCAAACTACCTGTTTCTTGCTACAGCCCTTACAGAACAAGAATGATGTTTTTATTTTCTGAAGATTTCTGTAGTCATTTAAACAGATCCAGTGAAGAAGAGAGAGAAATTGGGTATCCAGCTTATCTGGGATGGAGACAGGTGATCTTTTCCTTCTTGCAGATGTTTGTAGTTACACACTTAATGCTGAATATGTTATAACCTGGCATAGGAAAGCCCTTTCTGACCCTGGCCAAGTTTGGTTCTCTGCCATAACTTGTTTATCATCTTTCACTAAACTCTTCCGAAGTCGAGACGCTGTCTTCTTTATTGTGTACACTTTGGCATAAAAAACCCCCTACTTACAATCCTATTTTCCTCATTCCTGAAACCTCCTAACCTGGTTGACTTGTTGGAGTGCATTTCATGCATTCTTAGCAGATAGGCTGAAGGAAACGCCTAGTTCACTCGCAGCTAGAGGCTAGAAAGCATGTAGGGAGTTCATGAACATTGCTTGTCTCTTCCTGCAGTCATTGCGGAGTGCACATAGCCTGCCGGGGCAAGGATCCCAAACTGCTGGACACAGCATGACCGTCCCACATCTGGAAAATCTTACTGGTGTGACACCATTCGTGACATTGCGTTAAGGTAGGAGAATTCAACGATAATTTCAATGTATGTTCACTGACTTTCTCAGATGTTCCCTCATTTGAAAGCTACTTGAGGAAAGAGAATTCCTGCTTGTTAAATTATTGCTTAAGAGTTGGGCAGTGGAATTTTTTTATTTTATTTATTTTTAAAACTAGTTTGGGCTGCATGAACTAGAGAACAGAGGGTTCCCTGTCTGATGCTACAGTGATGGGAAATTAATACTACTAGCAAGGGTAGGGGATGTGAAAAATACTGTACAGTATTGTCACTTGTGGTGAGCTGTCAACAACCACGTCTCTTAAGCCTGTGTTGACCTTGCATCCTTGTCCACCTGAAGGATAAATAACTTGGACAATTACTTGCACTATTTTGCCATAATTAACCCATTCTGAGAGTAGTGTGAGGTGAGCTGAGTCCATTTCATCGTGAGCTCCAGTTCTTCTACTATAGTTTGACAGCAGTTAGTGGCAGACACAGATCGGAAGGATTTCTGCCTTTTTTTGCAGACTTCCTGCTGGAAGATGGAAGAATGGGAAGTTCAGGTAATGAAGACCACAGTGCTCCAAATCTTAAGTCCTGACTCTTGGGACATTAGATTCCTCTTATGTGCATATGGTTCACTAAGGGGACTGAGATATAACCTAGGTTATATCCAGCCTTCTTACGACTACTTGTGGGAAAGCACAAGAGGTTTTTGGGGGAAATGAGGAAAAAAAAAAAAGAAAAATTACCATTCTTTCTTTTAAAAAATGTATTGTTTTTCTAATATTGTAACTACTGTGGTCACAATTCACAGAAGCGTGACAGCTGCTACACACCACTAAATAAATGGTGCTAAAAGAGCTTACAATTAATGTCACAAGCAAGTCGAGCATGTTAATAAAGTGGTACAAAGACGCAGTGGCTGGCTTGCACTGAGTGAGGAACAGGAAAAATAGACCTCTGGGCCAGAGCTAATGCTTTTTAAATTGTACGTTTATGTGTGGTGGTAGAGCAGTGTAGGAAGAGCTGGTTTGCTGCTTGCTGTTGAGATGGCCTGATGTAGTCCTTTTTCGGGCCATATGGTTGCTGATGACTTTGCCAAGCTTTCACCGCTTGGGTTGGAATTTTCCATGGCAAGCGTTGGCCTCCAGCTGAGCAACCAGAAAGTTTCTTAACCTAAACAGTGGGTTGCTTTCTGAAACAAAACTGGGAAAAAATAGTGTCTCTTCCTGTGCTTGAAGTTGTTTGGCTGGGTTGTGCTAGTTCCTGCTCCCCTCATGGGCCTTGGGAAGGTGCCTGTAAATCAGGAGGAAGGTTTTTTGGTTTAAGTTTTCTGTGTTTGGGAAAGTTTGGTCAGCTTGAAAGTTCTGAAAGATTGTCTTCTCCATCAGACGACTGCTATGGAGTATCCCCTTGCTTTCCTAACTGGTGACCAACCTGTATTTGTCCCATCCCCACCACTATGTTCAGGTGGACCAGAGGTTGGAGTTGGGGAAAGGATGCAAGAAGGGCAAAGCAATAGAAATCCTAAGATGAGGACTGAGGAACTCTTGAGTTTGAACATAAATTGGTAGTTGATGACAGGGGACTAGGGCTAGCTGAGCAAGGGATCATGAAGAGGGGGAGAAATGAACAGACAATATGGGGGAAGTAGAGCTAACAAGCAAAACTAGACATAGAAGCAAATGATAAACATGGACAAGAAGTTTGTAGGTGAAGGCTTGAGATTAAAAAGGGAATGGATTATGGCTGGATAACCTTAATCCTCATTTTTCTTAATGTCTGAATAGTTGGCTTTACAGCCTGAACAGTCTTTTCATGCGTAAGAAACACTGAGAGACCATTTGGAGGCAGCCTTTGCAGATATTTCAGAATACCCTTCCACACACAGATGAGTGCAATGCTTGTTAGGAAGGTACTGAGGACTGGGGGGTTTATGGTTAGAAAAGAAATCCGATAAATGTATCGGAATAGATTAAGCAACACTGTGTATTGCAGGGCTAGTTGGATGGAAACACAAATCTAATGATTCATTAGGTTTTGCGTGATAAAACTGGCTATTGGCCGAAGGTTTCCCCAGTCTCTGAAAAATAGCGGCCGCCTTTTTGCTAGCAAGGTAAATCAATTATGCTATGCGGTGTGATGAGCTGTTCCAGTGAGACTGGAAAATTGAATAGAAACAGCAGGCACTTCTCACTGCATGCATAGCTTGAGCATTGCTAAATATGATTTTGATTACAGTAGAACATATGAGCTCTGGTTGTAGAATTAGCTCCCCTGCGGCCAGAAACTGCACAAATGCATAAAAACGATCCTTCTCCAGGGCAAGCAGTGACGTTCCTTGTCCTACTCTTACCATATCTGGTAGCAGAGATTTTTAAGGAGAACAAAAAGGAGTCTTACAGTCTTCTGTTGACTTCCTGCAAACTATTTTAGAGTAATTCCTGCCTTAAATCCATAACTTCTGGTTGAGCTCCAGTGTGTGTTTTAGCAGTTTTGCTACCAAAGTTTTAAGCAACTGGCAGACCCACCACGTTCCTAGGTAAGTTGTTGCAAACAAAAAGGGCTTTTTGTTTGGTGGGTTCTTTTACTTGAATTGCCATAATTTGAATTTCCAATAATTTAATCTGAGTGTCTTTTTCTAACAGGTGAAGCAACTAATTACTCTCAGAAGTCTTTTCCTTGTGGAGGTCTGTGCTGACAGTGATCAAGGTACTTCAAACTCTACTGTATCTAAAGTTGTTATTATTTGAAGCTCCAATGAGTATTTTTTCTTTAATTTTTTTTTTCACTCTGTCAGTATGGTTTTTTTGAACAATGCAAAAACCAGAATTGGACAAAGCATTTTGGTAAGTTCACCCTGAGCTTCATCCAGGGATAATGCCACCTCTGTATTGTCTGAAGTGCTTCAGTTCTGTTAGCACACTTCCATCCTCAGGGTATATTTGCACAGTGCTAGATCCTAAGCCCAGAGTTATAAAGATGGATGAAGGCAGCGTGAGAAATAACAGCTGGTGGATAGACGTACTGATGTTATTCTTCAATAGAGCCAATGCTATGGCATTGACAGGTAACTTATACAAGGTTGGTAGCCATCAGGCCCTCTGCATCTCTAAGCCATTCGCTGCTTTCAAGACGCAGTATGCCTTAGTAAAGTTGCACATTGTACAGCTATATCAGGCTTAGAGCTGACCAGCAAAAGATAACTGCATTGAATGAGTTAAAGACTAATTGGACTCAATTTGTCCGATTGGGAAAAATGCACCCCCATCAAAATTCTGAAAAATGTGGTACATATTTATTGAAAGGTTTCTCCTTTTGATTTATACTTCAAGTATTTCCTATTAGAAGTATATAGTAAGGAAATCAGTAAAGAAAAGGTGCATGGAAGAAGCAGAAACCCAGATAAAAAATCTAATCTTACTAGTAATGGTTCTTGTGGCACTACCAGTTTCAGGAAGAAGGCGGGCTCACTACTGACTGTGGACTTTAAGTTGAATAGTATTTCTTTGACTGGTCTGTTGTTCTTGTTTTGGCAGGGGCTGTTGGTTATTGAAAATGGAAGAAACAAGGAAGCTCTCTCCAAAGCCGTGTAAAAGCAAAGAACCTGTGAAAACAGAATGGGGGTCTCAGAGTGTTGTATTTACGTATTTCCAAGGGGATATTAACAGCGTGGTAGACGAACATTTTTCTAGAGCTCTAAGCAGTGCCAAGAACCCACAAGACCTAAGCACAAAGCACAAGAGTGAGACTGTTGTCCTGAAGAACGGTGAGCGGCTTTCCACGTGTGAGCGTGGTGTTAGACAGGGGTGACTAGCTTTCACTAACAAATTTAAGATGCAGCGTGCTGCAATTTGGAAGTGTGTGCAAATGGAAAGCAAGAAAATTGTGCTTGCAAAGCCCTGGATTATGTAGCTGGGACTTCCTGGGTAAAAACCTGTGCTTGCTGGGGTCCTTCCCAAGCTCTCTGTTGGCGGGACTGGGTCCTCATTTTCCAGCCAAGAGCCTCCATCACTGTCAGATGCATTAAGCACATTATGACTTAATTTGTTGTCTTTGCAGGAATATATTTGTCTAAGCTTGCAATTGTTAAAACCCTGCCTATGCTAGTGGGCTGTAAGAAAACACATGTAATATTTATTTGAAAGTATTGGTGGTGTTGGTTTAATCTGCTTTTAGTATGAATTTGTTGTTGATTTTTAAGATAAGCAGCACTAAAGTGAATATCTATTTCTTTAAAAATGAATATGCAATCTGGTAGCATTCCCTTAGAAGTCCATTGGAATTTGCCTTGGAAAAAAGTAAGAATTTACGAGACTTCAGATGCTTTCTTTCTCTTTTTAAGTAGATAGCATGTCTCCCCATCAGTGGAATTTCTCTTCACATTGCTCCAAACCATATCCGTCATCTTCAGCTACAAGCATGTCAAATTCTGGTCTGAATTTTTCTGCTGCTGGTATGGCAGGCCAATACCAGTCATCAACTCTGCGGAGTCAACCAACTCAACCTGCAGATTTATGGCCCTTCCCTTCGATTGGGACTCACAGTCTTACCAGTTCGGTATATCATCATGCCTTGCCTGACCTGCATGCGGTAGATGAACCGATCTCTGACAGGAAATACGGTTCTCTTCTTGGTCTTCTGCAGCAGGAAAGGTGCCTAACATCCATGCAAGAATGTACCATGAAGCAACACTCAAGTCCTGCTTGTATGACTGGACCTGCTAGGTTACAAAATATAAGTCAAAGTTCAGCTCCTGGGGGAGGTAAGGAGATATTTATTATCACTTTATTCTTTGATAGCATCTTATGTAAAGAGACAAAAATAATACAGTCTGTTCCTACGGTTTGCAAGCTGGAGCCATCTCCAGCCCAGCTCATAGGAATTTTTTTCAATAGTTAACCCATGCTGTGTACTGTGCTACTTGGGGTTGAGTAGCTATATAGTACGGCTTAATCAAAAATACGCACTGCCCACTTGCATAATATTTTGCCTTCTGGCTCACATTAGGGAGATACTTTAAGTGAATATAAGCATTATCCACAGTGCTATCAGGATCTCTACCTTATAGGTAGCAGGTAGGGTGGCACTGTGTGTAGTGGATGCTCCTGTATTATGACAAGAAAGGAGTGGCCAGGTAAGAGCCCTGAGCAACCGAACTTACTGCGTAGGGCGTTAGTGATATTCTGAATACAGGATGTGAAACTGCAGCCCTTACCAGAATGGCCAGGGATTTCTCTCCCTCCCCAGTCTCTGTCTGTAGCTGGAAGGACTAGGGTAAAGGGGCTGGCGGGCTGGCCTTGCCTTGTCTGCCAGCTAATTGCTGCCTGCCACGAAGCACTGCTGCCCTGTATGTCAAAGGCTGTGTTTGTGTTTTGCAGTAGATTTCCCAGAACTAATGCAATTCACGCAGAAGTGATGATTGTTACTTACTTATTATTAACAATTAGTAGGAATCCCAATCCTAGGTACTACTAGCGCACAGAAGAAAGGTGGCTGGTGGCTGAAGTCTGTTTCCCAGGAGCTTATGTTCCTACAGCATCTAGGTCAGCTGGATAAAATTGCTCCCTTGTGAGTAATTTCTGCCTTTGAGAAGCTCTCTGAGATCAAGCTTCCTGGCCAGAGCCCTGGTGCCCTGTTAGGGTATGCCTGCATTGCTGTTCCTAGGCGTTACCCAGATAGTCAGCTTGGCACTGGTCTCCAAGAAAAAGGGTTGTGAAATGTTTAGGGAGTCGCTGGAAAAATACAGCATGTCCTACCTGGTGCTTCTAGATAAAAAAGACCAGGCATGTGAAGAAGTGATCCTGAGTCTTAGGTTTTGAAAAATAACCAGCTGTGAAATACCTACTGGTTACCTGGTTTCTAATCTGCATTGGCAAAAATACGGCAGAACGTGGGCTAAAACTACCGTTTATATCTACAGGCAGTCTTATCCACAGTTCCTCTTTTGAGGCTATACAGAAGCTCTGTTGTTATGAGGACCCCAGCTGTGGGTGTGTTGCTACCTTAGTCCTGCTAGAGTGTCTAATGCCTGTGTGTGTCTGTGCATGGAAAAGGGAGAGTGTGTGTGTCTTTGGCTGGAATACAAACTTTCTGCTCATGATACATAGTTAGATTTAGCTGAGGCTGTATGTATGTGTTACACAGGCATGCACCCTAGACTTTTTGCAGCTAGTAAGTGACAGTCTAATTACTTTAAAGACACTGTCTGGACTTCTAGGGTTTAATTTAAGAACAAGGTTAGGTGCCCTCTTCCCCCAAGGGGGCAATGTGAGCCTATCAAGGCTTGGGAACCCAAAGAACCAACTCCTCCAAAAAAGGAGATGTTTCATGAAACTAGTCTTGGAATCGAAAAAGGGAGGCAGTGCTGACAACAGTGGACTTTTGTTGAGAATTTCAGAAAGAAAATGAGTGGGGGGAAAATTGAAAAGGAAATTAAACAGCTTGGTGCTCCCCAGCCATCACAAATCAAAGCCTTTTCTTTCAGGATGTTTACAGGGCCTTTCTGAATATTCAGGGAGCCTCATAACACCACATGTGTGTAACGCTGTACATGTGCTTATCAAGCAACCCAAAAAGAACAGATAAGAAATGGCTGGCCCAGGTTCACAGGGAATCTTTGGCAAGTCCCTAGGATGTGTGCATCTAGTCTGGCTGTGGGAGTCCCTGTTTCTTGGCTCTATCTGTTAAATATACTTCTTGTTGCGCTGTGTCATGTTTAAGAACAGCTGATATTTATATTTATGGAAGTGTATATTGCTGTGCCAGACAGCACAGAGCTCCCCAGCACCTGTGCTATAGGCTGGGCTGCAAAAGCACAAGGTTTCTTTAGGAACTACTGTCTGCTTTTAGCTCTGTGTTGAATCTCTGCTCATCTCCAGTATTTTTTTTTTTTTAAGAGAGAAGAGCAAGCTCTTACCAAGGCTCAGAAAATCCCAGTGTAAGCCATGCCACTGCAGGTGAGTAATGAAACCAGCAGGTTTGGAACAAATTAATACTCACCTGTGAAGGACAGCTGCCTTATTTACGCATGCAGAATTAAAGATGCTTCCTTGCTTGCTTCCTGACTGTATTTCAAAAGCTTGCTTTTTCCCCCAGATATAGACACCATCTCCCATAGCTACATTAACAGAGAAGAGGGAAAACATTCTATTAAAATGAGATACATGATTTTCTAACTCCATCTACCTTAGTTTTTGTGGTTATACCATCAGCCTGCCACTTCACAATGCCTGTTTTGCACTGGCTGTCCACGTTTCAGATCCCAGAAAGGCAGGACACCCCTTGCTTTGTATCTCAAGCACCTGGCTTCAGGCTGAGGTCCCTGTTGGAGCTGTGTGTTAGCATTACTGCAGTTTTCACCAGCAAACCCACCACACTGCTTGGAGAGTTGTTCTAAGAAATTATTCCCAAAGCATTCAGGCTTCCATATTTTTATTAGCCTCTTGAGACTGTGTCATACCCTGATGTTGGTTCTTTGATGTGCAATATTTTGGGGATACTTTGGATGGGTCATTCTGGTTATTCTAGTAAGGGCCCTCTTGCATCAGACCCAAAGGTGCAATTTTTTTTGCACAACATCCTAAGAGATTGCGTGGACTATGCTGTTTGACTGTCCTGATACTGCTGTGTCTTACAGGTATTCAGATTCATGACAGAAGACGAGATTTGTACTTTTAGCAACTGGATGTTTCTACTTTGTTCTGAAAGAGAAAGTTCTTGCTGTGAACTTTTATTATTTGCAACTGTGAATCAAGAAGAAATGAACTGCAGCTATTCTGTGCTTTTTCTCTCAGTTGGAAGAATACATGTACTATTTGCTATCTGGGGAATGAAAAATCATCTTTTTCTATTCAGTAAATAATTTCTAATAGCTATGGTATTAAACCTGACAGTATGTTTGTTGTGAAGAAATATTGTCAACTTAAGGCTTTTCATGTAGCCCTCTTGAAAGGACTTTTAGCACTTTTTAATCTTTCTGTGTTTATTCATTTACCTTCTCTTGATAAGAAGCACAATTCTTATCAATGCAGTTGATAACAGATAAGTGCAGGGATGCAGTTAGCATAAATTCAGTGCTGCAGCTTCTTAGCTGATTTGATATCTCCATATTGTTTAAAATAGTCCTAGACCATGGGCAAGAGACTTCAAGAAAACCACAGGTCAGCAAAACACATTATCATGTTTTGGAAGTACAGTAATTTGTAACCATACTTGCAATTCACAGGGACATTCTTCAGAAACTATATAATATGCATATGCCCAAAGGCTCTATTTTGCCTGCTCATAATGTATAATCATCCTCTAGAAAACAGTGAATTAACACTAGATCTGGGAGGAAATCTGGATCCTCATTGGATGTAATTAAAATGCCGTTGAATAAAAAGCTGGAGGTGGGAATGGTCTATTTTCCCAGTCTCTCTGCAGGTGTAAAAGGTTCTTCTAAATAAACCCTGTGGGGTTGAATTTTAAATTATTGACCTTGAAGGGCTTGGCCACCTGAACAAGCAAAAATCAATCTCTTTGTGGTAGCTGCATCCCACAGACCTCAGAGCAGCGGAATGGGGGGGTGGTCTGTCTCGATGCTCTTCCGTGCAGCAAAAGTGGCAGCCATGAACTGTGCATCGATACTGCACGTTCAGATCCTCCCCTTGCTTCACCACTCGCCCTTGGCAAATATGTTTGCTGAAGCTACTGGGAGTAAAACTTCATGTGACTGGTGTTTAGATTTGTGCATGTAATCCCTGCAGTAAGAGAGACTGCTTAGCCTTTATTGTAAATCCTAAGGATAAAAAAGATTTGGGTTTATTTTTTCCTTCTTCGTTAGCTATACATTAATTTAACATAAAGGAGCACAATTAACTTTTTCTGACAACTCTACACAGTTGCTTAAAGAAATTTGACCTTTGAGATACTAGAGCTTGTGATTTATAGGACAAATTCTTAGCTGGTGTAAGTGTTTGTGGATCTGTTTACACCAGGTATCTGTGCTGCCACTGGTCTACTTCAGTTACACCTTGTGTAATTTTATAAATAATTTGAGTTCAGCAACTTTAGATATTTATGGTACTGATTTAAAAAGAAAAATTTTAAAAATCCCATTTGTATCATACAAGTTTGCTCTAGCATATATATGAGCTAGACCAACCTGAGATCACATGCGAGGGGAACTATTTTAACTAAATTAATAAAAGGTAGACCAACATCCTGTCTCCCTGTATAGATGAGCATGGAAAAATCACTTGTTTTTAATATTTCTACAAAATTACCTTTCTTACCTTTTAAGTTTAGGAATACATCTCCAAGTAGTTTTCTTCTGTCGTGCCAAATCACTTAATTCCCTGATTTTTAGGGCTACGTGGTAAGATAATCTGATTTCCTCTATGGGACGAAGCAAAGACTTCCAAGCTGTACTCCATACATCTGTCTTACTAGTGTCTATTGTAATTTTGGTTATTGCTTCAAAATAGTGAAATATTATTTTTGTCTCCCTCTGTCATCCCTCCTAAAGGAAAATGCTTAAATAATTTCTCTCCAAGGTCTGAAAAGACACATAACAGTATATTTAAATGCTCTTAAAATGTAGTGCTGCTTGGTTGGTCCTGTGCGTGTGTCAGCTGGAAATATTCAAGGTGACTTAAAACCTGTGTTTCTGGTGAATCAACCAAGTGGAGTTGGACAGCATGGGGGTGGGGGGAAAACTCCTTGTTTTTAAATGTATGTCACTTAGTGCAAGGACACAAGGCATCAGTGATTCTGCCTTGACATGGTAATGCTTTGAACCATTGCTGTGAGGTTTGGCAATGCTGCGTCTTTGTCGTCCAGCTGTGTGGCTGACCTGGGAAAAGGGAGCAAGTGCTGGGCTCCACGCTGGGCGTACGGGTGCTTGCTCTCTTCCCTGGCTGTTAGAAGAATGATGACTTTGGGGTAGAGGGTTGGGGCACAGAGGTTCTGGCGTTTTGTCTTGCACCACTGCAGCAACATGCACCGGAGCGTGCCTGGGTTTATAGGCATCTCACTTTTCTTCTGCAATAAACATGGTTAACCCATCAGTGCAATCTGCCTTTAATGATTTCATATGAATAGAGGTTTGAACATTTCACAGCGGTTCCCTACATTAGGTAGGCTTTTATATATACGTGTATATACTATATATCTAAAATAAATATATACATATATATTTCTCTCGATATTGTTTGTCCAGAGTGGAGTGTTTCTTGTTTCTCCACTCAGGCTAGCGCTGCGTTCCTGATGCTGCCATGCTGCTGTCATGCTCAGATGGCGGCATCTTCATTCCCATTCAGTACGTGCGCTCTTTTGCTCAGAAGGACTTGGCAGACAGGGTGCTGAATTCAGCAGCTGCCATCTGGTACTTCCCACGGTTATTTTCAGTTCCTTCTCTGAATGCAGCAATCATGGTGGTGACGGGAGGAGAAGGGATGTGGGATGTACCCGTTTCAACAGGTTCTGACTCCCCGAATGCTAGCACACCTCTGCGGAGACCGCTCCGAAGGACAGAAGGACAAACGTGGGCTGGGTGCTACATTCTCTGGTAATTTACTGACCCTGTGGGAAACCACAGTTTGCCTCCATTTGGGTACCATTTCTAAAGCTCTAGTCCAGGAATAACTTCTTTGCACAGATGGTTTTTTCTCCTGTCTTTTTCTGATGGGCAGATGAGATGCAAGCTACATGCTCTGTGAGCCCTGCTCAGAGACTAATGCAGAGAAAAAGACTCAAGTGTTTGACATGCCTACCCTGTGAAGAGTCTGGGGCTTTTTTTTTAATAAGCTGCAGGAACTGTTGTACATTTTTTCGCCATGCATGTCCCAGGACACAGATATTTTCTTCCGCGTGTCTCGTGTTTGCAGGCGCCTTGCTCTGCCTTCTTGTGTGGGATGGCCCTGGTCCAGCTCCTCCTCTGATGGTCAGATAAACCTTGTGGGTGGCTGGGAGCAGCATAGCTGGCTTAGCTACTCCACCCCATTTTAGTCACTCATTAGTAGTGTTAAAAATAGTCCCAGACTGCAATGACAAACAAAAGAGATTCTTTTGCTATTAAAGAAAAACCTAAAGGTTTTAAAAAGAAAAAAAAACAAAAAACAAAGGGCAGGAATGCTACTGGGTAACTTGGCCACAGCTTGTATGGCTTCTTCTGGGTGTTCATTGCCTTTCTTCCCCATCAGCCTAGCTTTCTACCTGAAGTTGGTCTAGTTCCGAAATGTCCCAGAAACACGACGGAGGTGTGACAGTATGTTTGCATTTATCTTATTCCTAATTTTGGATGAACAGCTGAAAGAAACACAAGTTCTCCCGTGTGTGCTCAGGCTGGAGGTGGCAGCGCTTTGCAGGGGAGCTGGGCTGTCTCCGGGGTCACTGCCAGAGGGGTGGCCAGCCCCAGCCCGGGGGACCACCAAGTCACAGCGATGCTAACAGCGATGTCACCCGGGAAAATGGTCATAGCTGGTGGCCCTCACCCTGGAGCTGATATTCCTCAAGCCTTTTTGGACAAGGGAACCCAAGCTGCTGTTGCTTATGTTTTTGTTCAGGTGTCAATTAATTTGTCCCATCACAGGTGAGAAAGGGACACCTCATGCACCCATGTGGCATGTAGCCTTTGGTAAACACTTGCTCATCTCTGGAATTTTTGACTGTCTTGTGGTTTTTAAGCCTCTTTTCTGGCAGGTTCTGCCAAGCAGGACAGTCCTGCTCCTGGTGAGGGGCTCAAGGTCACACAGTAAGGCTGAGATGTGGCCGGGGCATGTCAGCATTGCTGAATTTGTAGTTGTTTGAACTAACAGTGTGATCTGGGCCCTGCACAATGCTGCAAACGTCAGGAACTAGAAGTGATGTTTGCAAGTGTCCAAAATATTTTTTTTTTAAAGAAAAAAAAAAAATCTCAAAAGTGGTTCATGTGGGAAAGTTCTCAAAGCATTGAAGAAAGCAAGCAGTTTGGAGGAAGACAAAAGTGAACCGATGGCATCCTTCCCCCCGGCACGGAGAGCAGAAGCACGGGTAGGAACGAGCTTGCCATCAGCCCGGAGAGGCTTTCGCTTTCACTCACGAATGTGACAGCTCCTCGTTCCTGGATAGATGAGCTCCCAAATCCCCCCAGGAAAATGGCAACCAAACCGAGCTGAGCCCTTTCTATCCCTTTCTGAAGGGCTGGCTCTGCTTTGTTTCCAAGCAGGCTGGAGAACCTCGCAGGCTGCCAGCCCTGCCGCTGGGTGCGAGGAGCCTGGCAGGTCGGTGCCGCTGCCTGCGGCCACCCCAGCTGGAGCCGCGATAAGGGGGGGAACCAGAGCCAAACCTGCCCGCCCCATCGGTGCCTTTGCTCAGAGAGCACGGTGCTTGGCCAGCCTTTTCCAAAGCTGGTGTCAGTAAAAATGCCCCTTACTGGTTGGGGAGTTTTGTGTGTATTTTTTTTCCCCCCCTTGGGCAGATTTATGACTAAGTGACCACATGGCTTTGGTACAAATGAAGGCAAACGAGAAATAACTAGGAGAGGTGATTTCCTAGGAATGGTAAAATGTTGTTGCACCACTTTGTTCTGGGATGTGTTTTCCTGTACTGTCTGGTTTAAAACACTGCATTTTTTTGGCTCAGGGCTCTAATCCACTTAGCTGCTGGTCCACTGAGACCTTGGTCCTCCCCTCTGAGTTATCATGTATCGTTAACACTTGGAGGATTTCAGCAGAGAACTGGTGCAAACCGGTGGTTTTGGTGCCTTGGTTGCTGGGAGGAGGATGCTTTCCTTGTTTCAGTATTACACACCATGTTGGAGGGCCGCGTGTTACCGCACTGGCAATACTGCTGTGCAAGCAACTCGGCTGTGGTCATGTCATACAGATCACAATTTCTTTGCTGAGGGGGTGCAAAAGCAGCTGAGGTGTGGGAAGTCAGCGGCTGGGCTGCAGCACAGGACCACAGGGCTCTCCGGGCCAGCTCAGAGGATGCTGTCAGGTGGGCTGCAGCCATATCGGAGCTGGCTGACCCAAACCGGCTGTGAGGCAACTCAGATGTGGCGTTCCCCAAAAGCATGGTCCAGCTGCCATGAACCCGGCTGAGCTCATCAGCACCCACGCTGCTGATTCATGCTACCCCTGCAGCCGGGCTTCTCGGCGCAGGTTAAGCTGGGTGCAGCGCTTCCCGTGAGCAAGGCTGGCCTTGCAAAGCCCTTGCACCCCGGAAAGGTGGCTGCTTCCCCGACCTCCATCCTCACCTCTGTACCCCCATCTCCCCCCCCATCACCCCAGCCTGGGCTTTGCAGGCTCTGGGTTCGAGTCTGAGCAGAGCAATTTGTGTTTTCCCTATCTCTCTTTCTCCTCATGGCGAATGCTAGGTACAGCACGGGGCTATTTAAATATCATCAAGCAGTATTTCATACTGAAACACAACAGTGTTTCGTCTCCTGGTTACTACTTTTCCACCTGAGATAGGGACAAAGCAACAGCTCTCTCCTAAACAGCGCAATTAAAATAAAAAGTTTCTATGCTCAGCATTATAAATCACTCAGTTAGCTCCCAGTACTGTATATTTACCAGAGATAAGTGTCACTTTAGGTAAATCCCTCTGCCAAATGGAAAAACAAATTGAGCGGATGGAAGGAAACTGAATGTACTGAACACCCAAAGGGCATCTCTGGTAACTGAGCACAGCCTAAAATAATCCTGTACTCGCCGCCTGTCGCACGCTGTCTCCCTGTGCCTGGACGGCTGCGAGTGACTCCATCGGCAGCGGAGAAGCACCCCCGCACGCATGGGCTTCATCTGTTACCCCTGTTTGTAGGCTCAGAGATGACCCAAGTCTTGCAGATCCCATGAATGATGTGGTCAAGGGACAACCCTTTGATTTGGCCTTGCAGAAGATCAACACTTTCCTGGTCTTTAAGGATTAGTTCCCACGAAAGCCTTGAAAGTCTATTTGTCTCAAAGTTTTGTGGACCCCATCCAGCTACTGGTCCCACGGAGCAGCCCCCACGT